GGAGTTGCCAAGGGCAGCTACGTGATTTGAAAACTCCGTATGGTGGAACCCAGATGCGCATGCAGTTTACGTAGACTTTCCGTAGATCGACTACGTTTTTTACTAACGTAATTACGTTATGCGGAACCTCTCTAGTAATATCAAGAGTAGATAAACAAGAGTGTGCAACTCCGGATCTCTCCTGCACAATCTCCAGATACCCCGCCCATGGCGGAATTTTTTGTTGACGTCACCTTTTTTCAGAAGAACGCGCATTTCGCTGCAGAGCAGTGTGACGTGAGAGCACGTGCTGGGCACCGACCTTAACCTTGTAGTGAAAAGCCGGCCAAGAGCACGAGGGAAAACTTACTTTCCGAAAGACTCGCAGCTCGTGCGTCGTCGAAAAGATTACGTCAACAAAATATTCCGCCGTGGGCCTACCCATCTAGTCCTGCGGCCCAAATCTAAAAGACGTTGTTTTGCAAGTCCCGTTTCAGTCTCAAGCAGACAACCTGAGCTTTGCATGGGTGGAAAGACCATGTCCTAGGGATGTCGAAACGGCTTGTTGTCATGTCCAGAACTAGGGCATAAGCTGGGAAGAACCAATTTTAGGTTTCGTTACGGAAGTCGTTATTTTACGTTATTTTACGACTCCTTGATTGAAATTGGCAGCATGTGATACGATATTTTATTGAAAATTAGTGCAGTCGATGTGAATTTGTTCTTGTATTTCGATGATTCGTAGATCATGGTTGCCCTTTGCCGAGCGTTCATTTCCTATTGATGGTGATTAGAGATGGCACAGATTGATTTGTTGTAAAATTCGACCAAAATCACCCCCAAACATGGATCTTTCGTATGAGAGGATTTCATTTATTGGGACACGATCTCGACAACACCAGCGGAAGAGAGCTAGCACGAGCGAAGCAAAGGACACCGGAAAACGGCAGAGTGATAGCGATCATAAGCTGATCTTAGCAAACGAGCGATATGGAAGATGTTGTAAATAATAGCGCAGTAGTGTATTTGTCATTTGCTGCAGAGTTGAAAAGTACAATTCAAATTCAAATCAATTCAAAAACTTCAATAGTGCGGTCCACTAGCCTTAGCTTTCAGACTCACTGTCCGATTCACAGTCCAATCCACTATCGAAACTGCCTTCACCCTCATCATGGCATTGTGTGCATGCGCGCGTGCGCACACACACACGTACACACACCGCACAACACATGACATTGTGCGCGCGCGCTCGCACACACACATACACAAACCACACACGCACGCACACACACACACACACCGCACAACACATGGCATTGTGCACACACTCACACATCACATAGCACGCTAGAGATCAGCAAGAACCTGCTGCGACCGTGGTTGAGATGGCGCTGTAGAAGACACCGCAGCCGCCACTGGTTGCCTCGCACCCGAGGTTATAGTCAAAGCCGTACTAGCCAACACATCTGTACTGGAGGCTAATGTAGTACCCAGAGATGAAACGGATCCACTGGTGTTCACCTGACGCGGCGGAGTAGCGGATCCTTTGAAGCCGAAATGAGTGGGCAACACGACATTGGCGGGGACAAGCCCAGTGGATATCGCAGCGGGCCTATCGTAACTCCTGGTAGTGAGCCTATCGTAATTCCTGGCAGTGGGCCCGTCGTAACTCCTGGCATTGGGCCCGTTCTCTTGCCGGACACTGGGGTGCGCAGTGGACGTGGATGCGGGCAGGAAATCTGCGGCGACCGGCTGGACTGGGATGGTTGGAGCCGGGCCAGGTGCGTTACTAGTATGACTGTTCGGCAATGACTGGGTATTACCGGCCATCGGACCGTTTGCAGACGACACAGACAAGTGGTTGCTCCGTGAAGAGTGCGCCTGTATACCCATGCCACTTACCATACATGTCAATTGCTGAAGGAAACACACAGTTCAAACACAAAACGCAAATGAAACACGCCAATGAAATTCGATCCTTAAACAAGTCAAGTTCGCATGTCCGCGTTATCACGGGCTATACAATTGTGTTTAGAAAACAACCAGTTTATAATTCTGTCTCTTCTTGCATAAAGTCAGCCTAGAATACTGACGTCAGCTTTGGACATTACTCTGACTCGGACCACAAGCCCTGATTTATTCTGACCTACATGTGTACCGTGTGAAGTAGCGCGAGAGCCAAGCTGGTCGTAATAATACGTGTAACAGCCACGAACGTAATTCAACCAAAGAAGACTACCACATTACATGAGCATGAACACTTGCATTCCATTTAATACATTCCTATGTTGTAGATGTCAGGCACTGTAGTGTTCACGTCTACATACACATTGTGGCATTCCTTGGCCACCCAGACATTCATGATAGAAGCGCATCGTGTTATGTTATGCATGCAGCATGTGCCGTTTCCCGAGCGCGCGTGTGAAATGAACTTAGCGGCTTTTAGTTGCTGTGCATGAGTTGAGTCTGAACTCATGATCTGGTGTGTACATGCAATCATGTGATCTTGTAGTTGAGCGTATGTGTTATTTGGATTTCCTTGGTCATGACCAAACAACAAAACATAATCAAATTATTTCTACACATCCAACAATGCCAAGAACTTACCTGGTCCCCAAGTAGCTCATTATCTTCTTTTTCAGCATGAAAGTTGGATACTAAGGCGGAGTGTGATGGTCGGCCAAGCTGGTGCCGTTTGCAGTTATTGTACTTATCCGTGAGAAGCTTCATGGGCAAGGCCCTTGCAGACTTCAACTCGGACAGTATATACAGCACCAGGCTGTCAAATGTTTCGTAGGCCGACGGCTGGTCACTCCCTTTGCCACTTCGTTGCCGGTGCATAGTGGCCAGGTGGGTGAAGGCACTGTAGCATGCTCCGACGTTGATAGTGGATTTCCGCTGCAACGCAATCTGGGCCATTCTGGAGCGAAAGCCAAAATTCTTGCGTTGTTCTCCAACTCTGCTAGATGCACATGTCATGAGGCACAAGTCTGCAGATGTGGATTCAATCATTGTACATCTCTCCTTGTTCTACGCTTTGCTGGTACATGGTGTCCCATCATCACATACATGTATCTCCTCCAATTCAGAATGGCTTGAAAAGTCATGGCCACGTCCAAGTGGCAGCCGACCCAGCAACGTTTTGTTAGTGTATGTACTGTAGCACTTGCGGTGGTACCATCCGCGGACGCTCTCGCACAAGAAGGTATAGCTCGTCCTGCCTGCATTTAGCAGCTTCAAACAAAGTTTCCCAACTCTGCAAAGTAAATCGGGTTTGCTTTTCCTGCGATGCATTGAACGCAATGGCACCAGCAAAATTCCCGCGATACAACGCCATTCCCAGGACGAGGCCTAAGAAGCTCCACGGCCTCTTCCTCCATCATGTCAAAAGGTGTCTACCATGCTGTGAGCGGTGGGCAGGAGGCACTCAAACAGCGCGAAACGCAACTACTATGCAACTACCAAACGAAAATGCAATTCTACATTTCAAAGAGTATCCTGTCGGTGTCGTCGTCATCTTCAAAAATTTGAAAAAGGCGCTCCTTTCCGTGAACTGTGCACCCCCAGATGGTGCGCAGTATCGCCGACGAGAGCGGAGAAATTGGCTTCTCCTGAGCTTCTGCCCTAACTCTGAAGATGACAACAAGCGGAATCCAGGTCAGGTATACATACTTTAGGCCGTAGTGAAGAACCCAGGTTGTCTGCTTGAGACTGAAACGGAAATTTTTTTTGAAGTTTGGGCCGCTGGACTAATCCGCGAGTTGCACACTCTTGTTTATCTACTCTTGATAATATGTCATGCACATAAAAACCAGGGAGTCCTAAAATATGGTATTTTACGACTCCCTGGCATTTATGCAATCTCATTTTCCGAAGCTTCCTGCATGTACCATGGCATACTATAAACGGCGATCTATAAACGATCAATAATGTATATGCAGTTGAGTTGAGTTAAAGTGAGAATTTGATCACTATAGGCGATGTATTGCTATAGCTGATTAGGATAGGGTCCAGCGGATAAATCAAAATGCTCCGAATTTTTTTTTACCGATGTCAGCGCCTTTAATTAAAGCCATGGCCTTATATTCGAAACACCGCTGCTTTCCTAGCTATTTTAGATGCAAAATGACTCACCCACTACGCCATGCCATAAAAGTCAAAGTCCACACAGAAAGTTCAATCTAAATCCACCTGTTCACCCTTCCTCCTGGGCTGTAAATTTGTTAGCAAAGTGCTAACAGCCTCTTTTACGGGCAAAAGCAACACAAGGATGAGAAACCAGGGTTTAGTGTAAAACTCTTGCCATTCCGGAGACATATTTGCCACACCTGTGTACTATTATTAATATTATCTTCCTATCGTACCCTGGTTTCTCATCATTGTGTTGCTTTTGCCCGTAAAAGAGGCTGTTTCAACAATGTAAAAAAACCCCAGGGTATGATAGGAAAATAATATTAATAATACACAGGTGTGGAAAATATGTCTCCTGAGTGGCGAGAGTTTTACACTAAAAGTCTAAAACACAACTGGTTTAGTTCCGGCTTTCAACCACCGCCAGCTCCCTGAGCTCGTTAGCTGGACGATGGTATGCCGACCGTACTCAGTATTCCTTCATTTTTACAAAACATACGTCAAAACATACTTGTACGTCAAATGTCATTTCATTTATGAAGCCCATGGCTTTAAAATCTGATTATAATGCTTCAACAAGGGCTATAGTGCTCTTGGTTTTGGACAAAAAAGGAAGAAAGGCTGCACATGTTCAATCTGCCACTGAAGCCGCTGCAATAGACACCAATAGCAGTATGTACGTGCCTGCTGCGGGAAGTGAAGTTCCGCGACGTTGCAGACCCCATAGACTGCATACACTCATATAAACACACCCCATCAACTGCACAGACTCCATAGGCTGCACAGCCTCCATTGGCTGCACACACTCTTGACAGCTACGTATTTTGGTCATGACAAGTATCACCTGTGACACGTATCGGCCAAGCATGCTCATTTCCAACATCCAGCAGTACGAATTGTCAGTATTTTCATTACCCATACGCAACCTGTCCGGGTTTAAGCAAAAACCAGTACCAAAATCAAAGTCAGATAGGCGTTAAAATGATATCCATAATTTGGCGAAGCAACACAGATAGTGTACAACACAAGCAAGAAGAAATAAAAACGGCCCTCAGCAACATCCTCAAGCAAAGTAAAAAAAAACAGCATACAAGCTGCTAGAAAGACGTTATAACACTATTTAAAAAACGAAGAAAGAAGGGCAGGAGAGAATGCCAAGGCAGGATAATACCACAATGGCACACACACCGACATGTTTATCATCATGCATGCACAAACGACCACAGTCAGATAAAACAGGGGATAAAGCATACGTAAAAACAAGAGAGAGAGAGAGAAAGAGAACGATCTCATTAGAATGACTTTAGCAGCAATTCTTCTACATCAGCTACTTAGCTGGATAATCTGTGTAACAACATTACGGCTCCAGGATACTGCCAAAGCCAAGTACAGAAGGATAATATATTGTGTAGGTGCTCCGTTCAGAGATGACTACTACTGGCACTACAAGTAGATCTACAAAACAGGAGTACTAGCGACATACTGCAGCGGACTCATACTATACTCTTACTGACAGTCAATAATCTGGATCTGGAGCACCCAGCTGCAGGAACTACTCGGTAATAACAATAGCCTGACTGGCGTTCTTAGCCGGGACGGGACCGTCAGTGGTCACTGTACATGTGTACAAACAGCTCCACTACAGCACCAGCATTGCTCACCAGCCAGTACGAGAGAGAGAGAGAGAGAGAGAGAGAGAGAGAGAGAGAGAGAGAGAGAGAGAGAGAGAGAGAGAGAGAAGAGAGAGACTGGCAAGCATGCCAAGAAACGGCTGGCACACACGGGGGGGGGGGGGGGGGAAGGGAGTACGAATTCGACTTCAGTATGACTTGGACAATGACAGGATCTACGTGGCAAATCACTGTTATACATGCCTACTATTGGTGACCAGTATAGAAGAGACCAAACACAGCTCGTGCTGTTGCGACCAAAGTGACATAAGATAGCATATGCCAGAAGACGAAAGATGAAGGAACAACGTCTTGTGGTCATCAGTTGGGATTTGAACATGTCACCGACAAAAAGAGAATAAACCGCATCAACGCACTGCTCCACTACCAGTGTGCCCAGGGCGGGAGTGTGTCCAGCGGCTCCATTGGTAGAGCATAAAGAGAGCCCGCGGGACCAAGGATTTGCATGGAAACGGCAACACATGAGGCATCAACGTCACGTGATCCTCCAACCGCTCTCGCACTGAACAGCTACAGCAGCGGTGGTTGTAGCACTCTCACCTACTTCAAACTCAATACTTGTTGATACCAAACAGGCGCACACCGTGCAGTTGTGGCAACTTGGGAATCACTGCCAGCAGCATTAAGGTAAGATTAGCTACAAAGTGAGTGAACTCGTACGATGTATAGAAGCTAGCCAGGAGGAACAGGACGACAGGAAAGGCAGTCAGGAATTTCTTGGTGGCGGTGAACTGCTTACCGCCGTCAATCTGTTCCCAATGGGTGAGGTAGCGCTCTTCACCATCTGACGCACCGCCGAACGGACTGCCCTTCACCATGTGCAGGATGAAGAACATAACCTGTAGAAGATATACATGTACACACACATACACACACACACACACACACACACACACACACACACACACACACACACACACACACACACACATGCACACACACACAAACACACACACACACACACACCAACACACAGAGTTAGCATGACTGTGTTCCATGACACGTGGCACATCAATCTGCATAGCATAGCAGAATGCCTGAGAGTGCTAGCCCGATTGTGTAACTCCGACGGACTGCTGCCAGCGCCACATACCCGAATTACCAGTACATCGAGATTGTCTTAGTGATGCAGTGCATGTACTGTACAAGCAGGACTCAAGCAGGTCTTTTGCATGCCACACAGCTGCAGCTCAGTTGTACATACTGCGGTGCTTCCCATTGCTTATCTGCCTCAGTCATGGTGTAACGCAGGCATTTCGCCATGACAGAAATGCATGCAGAAGCGGTGCACTCTGGTCTCACGCAGTCTCTCAACAACTACACAAGACGGGCACAGCCACACCAGGCATACACGTCCGAAGAAATATAATTACGCATTTACTGAGCACACATCCATAGCACTCGTGCACACAGCCTTACATATGATTCTGCAGGCAGAACATGGGTTGCTAGATATTGATCACTGGCTAGTTACTTGGTTAGCTTTTATCCATCCAGAAAACACACACTAACCACTAAGGGGCCATCCACAAATAAAGCTATTTATTTAGAAACGAAAACTAGTCGTTTAGGGGGGGGGTTGAGTGCCTGTTCATTTCTTGAAAAATATCGATGCATGGCTTGTACGTGAGGGGACGTCCACAAAACACGAAAAAATATCGATACTATGTACCGTTTGCATGTGTTCGTTTCTCAGGGAGGGGGTGGGGGGTTGAAGAGAAATGACTAGTTTTCATTTCTAAATAAATATCGGCATTTACGGATGGCCCCTAACCACACACCTGATAGTCTCCTTTCTCGTCGAAAACTAACCAAAAGTAGATGTACAATAGTGTTGTATGATATCCCAATGCACATCGGCTCGTTTCAAATCGGGAGATTTCATCCACATCAAGTTGACCGTTTACCGGTACTTGTAATCTTACACTACATGACCATAATACTTGCAAGCATGCACGTGTAATCACTGTGCACTCTGCTACAGCAATCAGTATGCACGTCGAATCGGCGCTGATCGCTGTACACTCAGCTACACTCAGCTACAGCGAACAGTTAGTCTGCAAGCGTACATGTACTAGTATTTTGCTGCGCACTCCGCTACATCGCCCAGTGGACTACCATGCTACATCGCCCAATGGACTACCATGTCACTAGTCAACAGTAGCCATACAGTCGTGGCCAAAGAATCCGACCCGCGGGTCGAAAGTAGCGCCGCGTTTCCATTTCAATGAAATCATGCAGGTTCCCAAAACTGATCCGAGGGCGGCACGAGCCTTGGCGCTGCTTTCGGCACGTGGGCTGGATTTCTTTGGCCACAATTGTACTTACCATTGTACCAACCAAACGCGCCCTTACTTACAGGTAGCGGATATGCAAACATGGGCGACTCAAGTTTAGTTCATGCAGTGAACTCACGTTCGCAATGCTGTGTTTAGTCACACGGATTGTACCGTACTCACTCGGTTTTTGAACACCAATTTCGAGGAGGCTTCTATTCAAGAGGGGCTTCTAATCGAGAGGGGCTTTCCTAATTTCAATTCATACCAGTGCTCTGATCAAATCCCCAAATAATTCATATTCAAAGCAACTCAGCCCGAGTTAGTTCGCACACACTACGTCAACCTGGACGTCCAGTGATATGTGCATGCACGAGATGTTTCGTATGCACTTGACCTTACCATAATATATGATACAACCTGGTTACCCCTTGCTTCACGAATAGTAGTCCTCGCTTCTATTCGAGAGGGGCTTGTGTTTTTCAAATGGTCATTGAAGGGGGGGGGGGGGTATTATTCGAGAGGGACTTTTAATTGAGTGAGTACGGTATCCGTGGGTCATTGTGTATCACCAAGAGCGCATAAACAAGAGTATGCAACTGTGGTTATGGGTCAGTGCTCGGCGCGCTGCCTTGATGACGTAACTTGCCTCCATTACGCTCTGAAAGCATGCACTCAAATCCACAATTTCTCGTAAGAGCACAACCATTTTCGCTCGATTCGTTCCAGTACCTACGTGATCTCTAAATTTGGGCGCGTGAACTCCAGTTCCGAACGAAAGTTCATTTCAAACCAGAGGGAAAGTGTGGTGCTTGATTTTCCGCAGTGCGCAGACTGCAGCTGAATGATGTGGCGAAGGCAGCGCGCCGCACATCTGGCCCATAGAAAAGAGATCACAGTTGAATACTCTTGTTTATACCATGGTACGGTACGGAGGGCCTGTTTTCAGCCAATCAGCGCTCGTCTAGCCATGGTTATATTGGCCAGTATAAATCCCGCGCGGGATTTATATAGAATATAAATCCCGGTGCACGGTACGTACGCTAGGGCACTGCCACCGTACAAGTTCACTGCCTGAAAGGCAGTGAACTTGTACGGCGGCAGTACTCCAGCGCACGGACCATACATAAACAGACACAACGGACACCACATGCGCGTGTACACTCCACACAGAACGGCACACTGACGAGGAACAGTACACAATGGAAAAGAAGAATGACCTGGAATTCGTCTACAGAGTATTCTGTTATACTGAATCTGAGGATAAAGAACGTCGAATAACCACGAAGTATCCCGAATGGGTCAGCAATGTACATTGTACTTCGAAGAGTTGAAGATCATCAACGGACTGTCTCCTTCGTAAATAAGTTTATAATACCAGTGTACATGTACTTCAACCCGATTGGAAAAGGCTACAAAAGATTGGATTGAAATGTGATACAAAACAGTGTATGCAAATGCATCTACTTGCAAGCAAAACTGATTATGAGATGCCGCATGTGAAAATCAGCACTGTACCATAATTATAGTAACACTTACTCCCAAAGAGTCCAAGCTGTAATCTAACTAGTGACGGTAGTTTGATTCAACGACAAACTCCAGCACCGCAGCAATTCAGTCGACTTCCGCACCGCTCACGACTCAAGACAAGATCATGAAGATGCTACAATATGCACTGGAACTGAAAGGAAATCTTATGCCAAACATCCACGGAGGAATCTCCTTCTGACCTTGCTCGACCATTCTTTCAATTGACAACTGATAACCATCAGAAGATGTTCATGTACTGCATGATGTAGGAGATCTCCAAATAGGTTCGTTGTTCTGGCAATGCGTAGGGGTACCTGGCATAAGTAGGATATGACCCTCGTAGTCGGGTTATACCGTACCCTCATATAAATCCCTCCTGCTATCGCAGTCGGGATTTATATTCAGCCGGTATAACCTGATATGAATCTAAAGACTGGTTATAGGTTCTGAATTATTATTGCTACTTCCTAGAATATGAATGACAAGAGTAGAGACGAAACTAAATGTGGAGACTCAAGCTCAAGAACAACAACAAGACTGAGAACAGCTCAAATCACAGCTGGTGGGCATGCATGCATCCAATCAGTATTATAGCGTACGCATGACATCACAACATGTGTGCGCGAGCATGCAGCACAAAGACAGGAGCGCGAGCGTAGTATGCATATACATCACACGCCCCTTCGAGATTATACTGGATAACGAGAACAGTATGATCTAACAAGAGAAATCAAATAAAGAAATATGTGACTGCAAGAACACGGAAAGCAGTAGAAATACGACAGAAATCAAACATATGACTGTCCTTTTGTGGAAGAAATGTCCAAACGGTCAGTAGCACGGCGGTTGCGAGTGCTGCGACGTGGAGCTACAGGAGCAGGTTGATCAGCGGGTGGATTGGCAGGCACAGTACCATCAGGGGTAGCAGGCACAAGGGGAATGAACGGGCGGAGAAAACGCCGGTTACGCCAGTACACTCTTCCACTAGTTAACTTCACGTAGTAATCACGGTGACGACCAACACCAACGATAACACCACGCTTACACCACAGCTTCGACCGGGGGTCCTGCACGTCCACGTGGGTGCCGATACGGAGCTCGGACAACGGGCGAGCAGAGACATCGAATTGAGCCGGAGCAGACGGAGGAGCTGCATCTGTGTCGTCGGCGAGGGTCTGCCATTCGGACGAGAAGCTACGGTGATGCGCAAGCACAAATGACGACAGAGGTCGGCCATACAGCTTTTGTGCGGGGCTGATGCCATCAGACCTCGGAGTGTTACGCCATTCTAACAGCCCGCGTTGGAATGCGTCCACATCAAGGCGGCCATTGGTGGTCGTCTTGTGAACAAGTGTCTTCATCGCCTTGACACCAGCCTCTGCGTGACCATTGCTCTGAGGGAAGTGCGGTGTAGACATAACATGGGAAATCTGCCAGCGTCGACAGAACTCGGCAAATTGGTGGGACGCAAACTGGGGGCCACCATCAGTGCACAGAACAGACGGCACACCAACATCTGGGAACCAACGGCGCAAATGGACGATCACATCGTGTGAGGACGTCGTGGTACCGGTCGGTGCGAGGCATGGCCATCCGGATAAGCGATCTACATAGACGAGAAATTCACGGCCTTGGCAAGTGAATAGATCTGCGCTGGTGTGCTCAAATGGCAGAGTCGGGTGACGATCGTTGAGCAGCGGTTCCCTCGGGAGCGATGCTTGGCGTTCCCGACACGTAGGGCATGCGCGGATCAGTGTCTCCAGATCTTGGCTCAACTTGGGCCAATACACCACCTGACGTGCTCTAGCCTTGGTACGTACAATACCCTGGTGGGAGGCGTGGAGATCTTGGAGAACATGTTGACGGAGGGACACGGGCACAACGATCCGTTGACCTTTCAAGACAATACCGTTGGCCACTGATAGGTGCTCTCGTCCGTTCCAGAATGAACGCAGAGCATCAGGCAAATCACGCTGATCATTGGGGAATCCATCTTGCACGTGCTGGAGCAGTAGCTGATAGTCAGAGTCAGCGGCAGCAGCATCATGGACGGCTTGGAACCGGAGGTCAGTGATCAGCCCATCTTCATCACGACGGAGACAGGCACGGATGCCGAGGTTAGCCAATGCGGGGGCTTCACCATACTGGTCCGTCGGGGAAGGGAGGTCAACTGGGTTCCGAGACAATGCATCGGCAAAGGCGTTGTCAGCACCTTTCCGCCACTCAGCACAGAGTTGGAACGACTGGAGCTTGAGCATCATTCTGAGCAAACGTGGGTTCTCAATTTGATCAAGCGAGTATGCATTGATAATGGGCACCAATGAGCGGTGATCAGTGATGACACGAAACTGGGTGCCGGACAAGAACAGCTTGCACTTCTTGACAGCCCAGACGATGGCCAGGAGTTCGAGCTCGATCACTGCGTAGCGGGACTCTGTGTCACTGAGATACCGACTGCCACACTGGATGATGCGCCATCCGGTGTCTTGTTTCTGCCACAAGACGAAGCCTAGACCTTTCAGTTTGGATGCGTCCGTTTCCAGGCGGAGTTCGGATCCTACTTGGAAATAAGACAGGGTCGCCAAGGATACCAGCTCATCCTTGATGGCGTTGAAAGCAGCAGTGTGGTCGTGATGCCATAGGAACTCAGTAGAAGGCTTCAGCAGACCGCGTAACGGGGCACTCAGCTCAGCCAAACACGGGGTGAACTCTGCACACTGATTCATCAGGCCCAAGAACGAGCGGAGGTCGGTCCGGTTACTGGGCGTGGAGAAGTCACGAATGGCTGACGTCTTCGCTTCATCGACAGTCCAGCCGTCGGCGTTCAAGCGATACCCGCAGAACTCAATCTGGGTAGCAGCAAATACGAACTTCTTCGCACTGAGTGTGATGCCATTGTCCCGTGCACATGTCAGTACTCGGCGGACGCGTGCGACGTGGTCACTTAGGTCATCGTCATACACAAGGCAGTCGTCCACGACTTTCTTGAAGTTCGTGATGCCGTCGAATGCTGCGTCAGTACGGCGGTTGTACTCGTCACCGGCAGATATCAAGCCTTGTGGGTTGCGCAAATAGCGGAAACGGCCCCACGGCGTGATAAACGTGGTGAGTGGGCGCGCAGATTCACATAACGGGACTTGCCAATATCCATGACGTGCATCGAGCTTCGTGAAGTAACGACCGCTGATGCTGGAAACGACGTCTCGTGGTGGTTGCATCGGATGAGCAGGGCGTTGAATCTGGTCATTCAACTTCTTGAAGTCGACAGTCAATCGCTTCTCAGACGTGCCCTTTTTGTCGACAATCACAATCGGGTGACACCATTCGCTCGATGTGGAAACTGGTTCGATAATGTCATCCTTCACCATCCCGTCCAGCTGGTCCTTGATCTGGTCACGGAAGGCAAAGGGGACTGGCCGCGCATGATGCGTGCAAGCTGGCTTAGCATCGGCTTGGAGCTCAATATCCATTGGTGAGCCAGACATGGGTTTCAAACGGCCATCATCGAACACGTCTGCGAATTCTTGCAGCAGTTCAGTACGGATCTCGTCAGCAGTACGGTCTTGCGCTGGTTGAATTTCCACACGGGAAATGGAAGGCCAGTTGGCTGGAAGCAGACCAAGCGCAAGCAAAGAAGTCCGAGACAACAGAGCATCAGACAGATCAGGGTAGACATGGATCGTCGTGTCGTACGACTTAGCTCCAATGGCGAGAGAGGAGTGAATCTGGCCGGCAGACTCAAGACGTTGACCATTTACACCAGTCACTACATCATAATCGGTGGCGAGATTTTCGGGGAATCCACCAAGCAATTCCAAATGCTGTAAACCGATGGCATCCACGTCACTACCGGTGTCGGGGATCCAGTCAATCGGTGCACCAGTGGTCTCCGTATTCAGGGTGGCATGGACGGTCACGGTCCCTTGGTTGCCTGACGATGCTTGCTGCAACTTCAGTTGGCCGATTTTGCCATTACGGTGCGCAGACTGCGATTTCTTGGGGCACATCTTTTCAAAATGGCCTGACGCCTTACAGCCATTACACGTTTTGCCTGCAGCAGGACAGGAAGACTTTGTGTGAGCGCTGCGACCACAGTTCACACACTTCTTGGGTGGCTGGGCTATTGCGGATCTGTCACTGAACTGAGACTTCTGCTTCTGGTAAGAAGACTTTTTCGCGACGGCAGCCTTAAAGGAGCCGGTAGTCGGCATTCCATCATTGGTCTGCTTGGCGGCTTCCTCCGCACGACAAATCTTGGCCGCGCTGGAAAGGGTCAAGTTCTGCTCAGAAAGCAGCTTGTGCCGAGTGTCATCGTCCAGGACACCGACAACGATCCGGTCACGAAGGAGCTCTTCGTTAGCTGTGACTAGGATCTTGGGGCAGTCAGTACACATACGCCCAGAGCACGTGCGACAAACACGTAGTTCCACAAAGTCACAGGCGCTAAACAATTCTTTCAAACAAGTGAAAAAACTGTCGAAGGACTCGCCTTTATGTTGCCGCCTATTGTAGAAATCGATGCGGTCCAGCAGGGGATTCCGTTGGCGACGAATGTACTTTTTGATGGCTGCAATCACTGCTGTCACGTCAGCATTGAGAGCTACAGGAATGACACCTTCCCTCAGGTACCTACGGAGGTCCTCGTCAAGAGCTTGTCGCACAGCGCTAACTTGTGTCTGTGTGTCCTGGCTTGCCAGTTTTTGGCATCGGGCGTAGTCGTCCCACGCTTCTTCCCAAGCGGTGAGGTCGGAAAGCGTGGCAGATGACAGCAAAACCGGACGCTCCACAGAGATTTGTTTGGCAGTAGACGAAGGTTGAGTGTTCTGATTCTGGAGTAACGTTGTGAGGCGAGCCTCGCGATCATCAGCAGCTTTCATTTGTTGCTGCATCAAGGTCATGAGAGCCAGTACATCTGGGCTCAAGGCAGGTTGGGCAGCACCGACCGGGGTACTTCCAGCATCACTCATGACGAACGAAAAGAAACGAAGTACTCAACTTGCTACAATGTTCAAATAAATTCAACGAGTCTAGGTGGATCACAACCGGGTGAGCCAAAGCACGGTAAGAAAATGTTCACTGCGCCATGATATGAATCTAAAGACTGGTTATAGGTTCTGAATTATTATTGCTACTTCCTAGAATATGAATGACAAGAGTAGAGACGAAACTAAATGTGGAGACTCAAGCTCAAGAACAACAACAAGACTGAGAACAGCTCAAATCACAGCTGGTGGGCATGCATGCATCCAATCAGTATTATAGCGTACGCATGACATCACAACATGTGTGCGCGAGCATGCAGCACAAAGACAGGAGCGCGAGCGTAGTATGCATATACATCACATAACCCTCTGACTCGGGTTATATCCTCTACTTATGGACTCTTGGTATCAAATGGTACCCACACATAGTACACATGGTCCATGGACTAGTACACATCAGGGTTCTAGCCAGGTCAAAATAGTAGGGGAGGGGGGGGGGGGGGGGGGGACGGGCGGGCATGGGAAACTCCGTAACCCCGTATCCTATTTTTCCACTTTCCAACATTGTCTTGCCACGCTAAATGCTCTGTGTGGGACGAATCCCCGACTTCGCCCCAGACAAATGTGCTTTTATCAACCATTAATAGTGACTTTCGACTGCATTTTCTTTGAATTGCATGAGAAACACGAAAATCGGAAGATGAGTAGGGGGGGGGGGGGGGGGGCACAGAGTAGGGGGACGCTGCACCCCCCCCCCCCCACCCCTTTGGCTAGAACCCTGCACATAAACGTGGGACTAAACATCCCCATTGATGCAATGCCCCAGCTGATTCCCCAGTTCGTGGCAAGGTAATAGTGAGTTTCTGCCACAAGGTAAAACGTACCAAATTTCGTATGGAAACCTCATCGCGGTACGGGATCAAGTTTCACACGGGTTTTTTCATACCGTTTTCCGTGTGAAAACTGAGCGCACAGAGTACATGTGGCGGGAAGTTCGAGCATGCTAAGAGCATGCTTCGTATATACGCACAACAGAACCGGTGCAACGTACGAAAAATCCGTGTCAAACTTCACTGCAGTTGGCACAGAGTTCGGTACATAGTTCCGTGTAGCAGAAACTCACTAGTGACTATGTGGGGAGTGCACTACACCGGTGCACCAGAGACCATGTACTGTGCATGTGCAGAGCTGCATCTGGAAGCATCTGCTGAACGTAGTACAGCAAAATTAGTGATTCAATTTTAAAATTGTATCTCGCCTGAAACGTCGCCAGAGTTCTTGCATAGAGAGTAGTCGTAACGCAAGGCATACACGGTCTATCTTGAGTTGCAATGAGCCCTAAACATTAGTGGATTCGAATAGGAGAGGCGGAATGAAGACTACTGACTTACAGCGGTGTGTACAGCATTGGTAAGGGTCCATGCGTGAGCAGTACTCAGTGGTGGCAGGCATAGAAAGCAGAAATGAACTCCCAGTGTTACTCCCACCCAGGTGAACCAGGCACCACGATTACTGAGCCAGGACTCATTCGGATTCTCCGTATCACCGCTGCGACGCTCACAATTCATCTTAGCCAACCAGCCAACGCAATTCTGGTGAATAGCAAGTTTTACTTTGGCTCACAAATTCACAATATCCTTTGAATTTTGAAAAGAAATTGTACGACAATGGCTCAAAAGTTATGCACCATCGGAAGATCACAACAAATGCGATGATAGCACAGCAAGTAGCCAACAACGTCGGGACTCAACCAACACTCTCAAGGAAATGGGTTTACAATGCACGCTATCGAGGTAAATCCACGTTCTGCAAATACCCTGATGACCTTCCTCGAAAAAGAAACGCATGACGATCGAAGGTTATCGATCAAGAAGGTACATGTACAGCCATGTACATACATAGCGAGTAGCGCCATACGTGCATACATGTAGAGTACGTATACGCGACGTATGTGTAGGGCATTTTGAGTTCAGCCGGCATGATGTGCAGGTACGACGAGGTGCAGCAAAGCCCTTGAGGTCATAATATTATCACTCGGATGAAGAGTGTAAGACGTTCGAACGACAAGTCGTAACTTTTTTTGTAGGGCTCAAACGGTCACGGTTTAGCGGTTATAACCAAAAAGCCACGGCGGGACTCTTTTTTAACCGTATATTTATTCCAAAAATGTACCCAGAGTAAGACGCACACATGTATATTCTCTTGCATGCTCATTCATACATATTCTCACACGAAGAGACCAGATATGACCGAGTTGACAGCCCAGAAATTGCGTACGCGTGCGACAGCCTGCGAAAGTGCATACTTTGCAACGACCTGATACATGTACTTGAAAAATTGACTGAAAAGTTACTGCGTAACCGTTATCTTTATCGGTTAACCGTTAATTCTTCGTAACCGGTCTGCAACCGGTTAATCGGACTAACCGTTTGTTTTGATCTGCTGATGGTGGTACATGTAGATTCCCTTGATGCTTGCCCACATAACATCTGCAACTGTCTGACACTACATGTAAGGGCGCGTTCAGACTACCGATAAAAAGTGACCGATTGGGAAAGTCACCAAGGTGATTTGATCACGTGACGTTACTGGCACGTTACCGGTGGGAAAGTTTTACTGCCGCGGCTGCTGCGGCAGTAAACTTTTACCGGCAGTAAAAAAGTGCTCAGGCTGCATGCGCGCTGGGAAAAAAGGGAAAATCCCTTGTCAGTGCCGCGGTGAGAGCTGAAAACTTCACGGTAACGTTAGTTTGTTATCGGTAGTGTGAATGTCCTTCGCGGTTTATCGACATTCACGGTTTGACGGGGTTCACGGTAGTCTGAACGCGCCCTAAAGGACTACCGACTACAGTGTACATGTAGGCCTGATCTACTGTTGTGGACATGGAAATCCGGTCGCACGTCTAGCGGCCCCAGGGAGCTGGCCATGCAGCCGTGGATAAGCGGCACACACGTACACATGCATTTTTATGCGCTGCAGCGCGCTGGGTCGCATCGGATCAACATGTGCGCTGCATGCAGCAATCTGTACGTGCTGAGGGCGCCGGCCCCGGTCAATCGACTGGATCTCCATGTCCGCTACAGTAGCAAGACATCAATGACACACTTTCACACACACACACGCACACACACGCACGCACGCACACACACACACACACACACACTTTCATGTTCTCTCTGTCGCACACACACGCACACACACTCTCTCTCTCTCTTTCTCCCTGCGGCACACACTTGCACGCACGCACATACTTGCACGCACATGCACTGCTGCACGTGCGCATACTTGTTATCTTACTACTGTATGAACATTACAGCAGTCATGGCTGTGACTGACAACAGTGTTGTGACTCACAGAATCAAGCAAACTAGCTTCTAAGAATTAGACATGGAAAGAAATGTGATACATGTAAAAGCCAAACTGAACATCTACTTTCTGCACAAGAGCAAAATGACGAATGGCCAGCAACTGAGCAGAGGCCGAGCAGGCAGGAGAGTAAGATTTGTGAAATAAACAAGCTGCCCAGTGAACACAACATACCGCCATCATGGAAGAGAACCGAGACTACTGTGGGATGGGGTGAGGGGACGCGAGATAATAGCTGATGTTATAATACATAGTCGGATTGGGGAGCACTGCATGCGGTCCACCACTGGAAGCGGCCAGTGACGAGTAGGACCAGGCACAGCAACAGAACAGAAGCACGGGCGGGGGGCCCAGGACCGGGGGCCCGGGGAGAGCAGCAACAGGCGCTAGTCATGACCGACCGACCGACATACACACAGCTAGGCAAGTCACACAGCACCAGTGTAACGGCAGATACTGCTGCAGCAACACTGCATACAACAAACCAATCAATCAACCAGTACATACTGCTACGATAGTAATTACACAAAACTAACAGAGGTCAAGGAATTTGCTTTGAAGAATCTTTCACACAAAAAAACAAAAGAAGGAAAGAAACTTTCATATGTGCTACATACTGTACAGGTGGAATGGTGCGGTTCCATCAGCAAACATATCACCATCACTCGCTGCATATTATTATGAAGAACACAATCCACACCGGCACAAACACACACAATCAAGCAGGTAAGTTTCAATCTCACAGTCACATCAAAATGTTGTAAGCAGGGTAGCACGTAACAATGAGTGCACATAAAAAAAACCAGTCCACATCCCGCATCCATCCCAAGCCATGAATGGGAGAAAAGCTGAAAAGTGCTCTGCGAATCAAACAGCAGGCAAGAGTCCGCACAGCAGAATGTGGGATCATACCTGCCTGTCAGTATGTAGCAGCACCCAGCACTATGTGAATGATGTCATCCAGCACTATGTGAATGACGTCACCCAGCACCAAGTCATCGGCATTCTGTGAATCAAGCTATCCGGCACTATGTATACCCAGTCATCCAGAACTCTGTGAGCCAAGTCAGCAGGAGAGAAGCAGCGCACTGCAGATCAGTCACAAGAGACGCACAGGACACTATTCCATATGGACGCCCGGTAGTGCTGAAAGCAGGGACTATCCCCGATGGACGCCCGGTAGTGCTGAAAGTAGGGACTATCCCCGATGGACGCCCGGTAGTGCTGAAAGTAGGGACTATCCCCGATGGACGGCGGGTAGTGCTGAAAGTAGGCCAAATCATACATGTACACAGCCGTCTGTCCCCTCACTGCACACACGAGTTCCAGTGTACAGTTTGGGGGGGGGGGGGTGTAGTTCTCGCGACATGGCATGCACTTGCACGGCTACGAAGCGCACATGTTTTTGCTGCGGACGCCATGCTGTGCAAAACAATGCAGATAGTGTCAGGCCAGAGTAGCGCCGCCGTTGACACAGCCAACACACACGACATGATAGCGTGCACTGCACTTGAATGAGGCAGAGTGCAAGGTCAAGGTCATGTGATCATGTGACACATGGGACTGATGGCCTGCACCAGCAACAGCAGCAGCAGCAACAGCAACAGCTCCAGCAGCAACAGCAGCAGTACTGATCTCTGGAGCTAGCACTGGCACTACCATCCCGACAATACTCCCTGGCATCACGTTGCACTGGGTACAGTTAAGTGTCGTATGTACAGCAGATGGTGACGGTGATGCTGATGATCCATTCGCCCGTACAAGTGGCTTCTCTATGATGATCATGGCGACGGTGTGTGGATGGTAAATCATGACACCTTAATCACCAAGAAAGCAATCGCCACCGCACAGAGGATGGTGGTGGTGGTGGCGGTGGAGGCGATGGTGGTGGTGGTGGTGGTGGGGAGGGGGGCTGGTGATGCATAATCGGGTATGTAGAAAGGACATCAGAATTCCTCGAGCTGTCACGCAGGCGATACAGTGAGCTGTTAGTATATCTTCCATCAACGACCACCAGTCCCAGCTGGCAATACCTACTCGGAAAAACAATGTCCGCCAAGTTGCCACAACACTGTGTGGCAGCACACATGTCTTGAGATAACAAGATGGTGGATTGCGAAGCGGCACACACCAGCTAGAACAGCATCGGAATTGAGCACACATACAGCAGATACACACAGGGGGTGAGGATCACCAGTCCGGACCAGTCCGGAGTCCGCAGTGCTGTTACTATGATCGCTGCTGCTGCTGCTGCTACAAGACAGATTCAGGCTTAGCACAACACTGGCATTGCTGCTTATCACGATGTAGGGGCGGCTGTCGATGCGGCCGTGAGTAACTCCACCATGGTGGTGTAGACGGGAGCAAACTGACGCACACCACGGCTACGTGCCGATTTGACGTAGCTCTCGATCGTGGCCCTGCATGCAGCAAGCATGTAGGACACAGACAGCACACAACACAAGCAGCGCCAGCACACGTACAGCACATGTACAGCACAGCACATGTACAGCACAGCACATGTACAGCACAGCACATGTACAGCACAGCACATGTACAGCACAGCACAGCACATGTATAGCACATGCACAGCACATGCACAGCACATGCACAGCACATGCACAGCACATGCACAGCACATGTACAGCACAAAGAAGAACAAACACAGTAAGTAAATCACCCGGTGGTAAATTCCCAGCCATTATTTCTGCTGGTGCAGCAGAGCTGCACACAGCTTCCAGTGTCAAATGCTCTAGGTTTCAACAAGTGCATACAAATAGAGTAGCATCCTTTCCAGATATGTAAATTTCTTGTGCACCAGGGTGGGTGATTGCCAGCGATTTAATGGCACTTGTGACTGTGTTGGATGCAAAACGCACTACACGGTCAGTCCAAGGGTAGTCTATGGCAGTGTGGTGGACGTGAAAATATGGGAAATGGCGGCATGCTTGGACAAAAAGCCATCACCTGCCGAGGCTCAAACGTGACGTACCCGTCCATTTGTCAATTTACAGCAGTCAGTCGTTCTACCAATGACGGAATGCAATCGCCTCTAAGAAAAGGACAGTGCTCCAGTGCAAGCTCTTTACTACTTCAAGTACAAACAAATGAAGTAACCTAACATGTAAATAAATTTAATCACTAAAACGCCAATCACAGCTGCAGCCCATACTTCTTAGTGAAACGCCAATCACAGCCGCAGCCTTTACTTCTTACTGAAACGTCAATCACAGCCGCAGCCTTTACTTCTTACTGAAACGCCAATCACAGCCGCAGCCCTTACTTCTTATTGAAGCTTTGCTGCACAGGACAATGCAGGTCCAGTCTTAATACTAGATAATCTCCAGGCCATCAAACTAGATAATCTCCGGGCCATCAAACATAATAATTATGTTTGTCTTACAAGTTACAACGAGACTTATTTTTTTGCAATTATGTTGTAGCTAAAGATGCAAGGAATGCTGATTCACATTTATCTGGGTTCCCTCAATACAATGAACAACTGTAACATGGAAATCGTGGGCACAAGTTATGCGATCGAGTCCACCAACTAAACCAGATTTGGAACAGTTGTGCCCACGATTTCCATGTTACAATTTGTATATTTCCTTGGCTCACCATTTGAGTTCCCAATGAAGAACTGTAAGCACTTTAACAGATCTTGCATCTCTACACTCTACACTGACATACTAGTAACATGACGGACTATTTAGTTGATAGTTCGGGTTTTGATCTTGTTCCTACAGCCATCACCAGTCAAATATGATCTGATATTGGGTGTGTGGGTCACCAGGAACTTGGACACAGGGTCTTACTAACAAATTCTCTGAACAGTTGCGCTCGGTGAAATCCGACCCAAAGTGTATATTTGACGCCCTGAACTTGCATGGCCCTTGACCTGGCCCTGGAAGTGGTACAGATGCAGCTGGATGTATACATGTACCGTAAAGTACCGTTGATCCACCCCCTCTCTAATTCCCGCCCCCGGTTGATTTTCTACCTGTGAAGCGACTTCGGCGTATACAACGAAATACGATGTCGAACCGACGCATGCACTGCTGTACACAATACGTGCCAATCCAGGATGAACATGTGCACAATCCAGCACATCGAGTCTGATCTTCCACGTTGTTGTACATCGTACTGCACTTGACAGCCTTGATCTAATTCCCGCCCCCTGCCGAAAACCCAGCTGGGAAGCGACATGGCGTGGGGATTAACGGTAATTTACGGTACAAGTACAGTGATATATACAGAAGCCTTGCTTGGTAGTTTAACATGTTTTTCGATTTTGACAGCATGTTACAAGGCGAGGACGCGTGCAGCGGCAGCAACGTGAACAATACTACGGCGGCAACACGACGACTTCTACAACACAAAAAACGAAAATTATAAAAATCCTACCAACCCGTAGAGTAACGAGGGTCCAAACCTGGGTTTTCCCAATACGGTTCGAATGGTCGCAAGACCGGGACTCTGCCAACCGGGTTATGGTTGTAGTCAGGAGCACTACGCGTCCTCGCCTTGTAACATGCTGTCAAAATCGAAAAAAGTACAGTGATGTAATCGGAACTGGTCCAGGGTGCTAAGTTTCAACTTTGGGTTGGATTTCAGTGACTGCAACTGTACTAAAGAAATACGTTGCAACAGGACCTCACCTGTATTCAGTAGCATAGACCACGATGTTTCCAGGGGATTTCACATTGTATTTACTAACGACATTTACGAAGTACTAAACAGACTCATAATTACGGGGTACAATCTATACACTGTACGCATGTGTAGCATGTACATGCACACAGGGAGCAAAATTCCTCTCCAATGCGAACATCTGCCGGCATGCAAGACAATGGTTGAGGTGTGGGAAGATTGCGGATATCTCCCGGCATGCAAGACAATGGTTGAGGTGTGGGAAGATTGTGGATATCTGCCAGCATGCAAGACAACGGTTGAGGTGTGGGAAGATTGTGGATATCTGCCGGCATGCAAGACAACGGTTGAGGTGTGGGAAGATTGTGGATATCTGCCGGCATGCAAGACAACGGTTGAGGTGTGGGAATATTTTGTATATCTGCCGGCATGCAAGACAATGGTTGAGGTGTGGGAAGATTGTGGATATCTGCCGGCATGCAAGACAACGGTTGAGGTGTGGGAATATTTTGTATATCTGCCGGCATGCAAGACAATGGTTGAGGTGTGGGAAGATTGCGGATATCTGCCGGCATGCAAGACAACGGTTGAGGTGTGGGAAGATTGTGGATATCTGCCGGCATGCAAGACAATGGTTGAGGTGTGGGAAGATTGTGGATATCTCCCGGCATGCAAGACAACGGTTGAGGTGTGGGAAGATTTTGTATATCTGCCGGCATGCAAGACAATGGTTGAGGTGTGGGAAGATTGCGGATATCTGCCGGCATGCAAGACAACGGTTGAGGTGTGGGAAGATTGTGGATATCTGCCGGCATGCAAGACAATGGTTGAGGTGTGGGAAGATTGTGGATATCTGCCGGCATGCAAGACAACGGTTGAGGTGTGGGAAGATTTTGTATATCTGCCGGCATGCAAGACAATGGTTGAGGTGTGGGAAGATTGTGGATATCTGCCGGCATGCAAGACAATGGTTGAGGTGTGGGAAGATTGTGGATATCTGCCGGCATGCAAGACAACAGTTGAGGTGTGGGAAGATTGTGGATATCTGCCGGCATGCAAGACAATGGTTGAGGTGTGGGAAGATTGTGGATATCTGCCGGCATGCAAGACAACAGTTGAGGTGTGGGAAGATTGTGGATATCTGCCGGCATGCAAGACAATGGTTGAGGTGTGGGAAGATTGTGGATATCTGCCGGCATGCAAGACAACAGTTGAGGTGTGGGAAGATTGTGTAAGTATTTAGTACTTGTACATACTTGATAAGGGCCAAGTGTTCAGCTTCCGTGTGTGAGTCTATCCAGCGAGAATACTCCATCTGTGTCCAATCGGCCACCTGTCCAAGCACATGGACACGCGCGCACACACGCACACACACAGACACACGCACACACACACACACACGCACACACACACACACACTTGTACTTGTTGCTCACTGCCAAAACTGGTCACATGGGTCTCCCTTGGGAGAGGGGAGAGAGACTCAAAAGGAATCTTGGAAAGATGACTCAATTGGCTATTGAAACGCCCAACGGCCGACACCCCTGAAATCCCCAAACTATAGGTGGACTTGAAAATGATCCCACTTATGGGCTCACCACACCTCAGTAAGTGGGTGAGGACAAGGTGCAGTAAAAGGATTGATGGCATCAGGGTATCCGTCCCGGGATCCAACTGCAGTTATCCCTGCCCCCAGTGAAGGTAATACTTGCAGCTAGTGTGAGTAGCTAAATCAGAGTGGATCTGATCATCAGCTTCACCAGCACCATTGATTACACAAGAGTTACTCTAGCCAGAAGTAGTCCATGGTTTAATAACAGGTATGTATACTTCAAATTGAAAGTGTGAACCCTGAAACCAACAAAGGTGGCAGGTACAACAATACACCTTCAAGCAGCCGAGCCCGTTGGCAACAGACACAACACTATCTGGCATAAGTGTACCCACTAACCGAACTAGCGGGCATACACACACACACACACACACACACACACACACACACACACACACGCACACACGCACACACACACACACACACACACACACACACACACACACACACGCACACACGCATACACCCACACCCACACCCACACCCACACACCACACACCCACAAACACACACACACGCACACACGCACACGCACGCACACACACGCACGCACACACACGCACGTACACATGTTCACAAGGAACACACTACAAATTACAAATGGGACGTCAGCACCCCTATAACTCATTAGTCAGTAGCACAACATCATAGAGCTCCACCTGCTGACACAAGAACACCAAGTCAAATTCGGACACAAGTAAAATACACACAGTAGTAGACCATGCAACTCACCGTATGCGGGGAGCGCAGTTCGTCTGGCGCATATGAGAAGAGAAAGTCGAGGACAAGACTGTACGGTAAAGTATCACCCAGCGCTGTGCTGCTGCCAATCTCATCCACACTTGCTATGAGCAAGGGTCTGCACAGAACAACAGACATGACAAAAACAACAGAGATGATGAACCTTGACTACATACACAGTGTCATACGCATCCATATAGGTGCTCATGCTAACTGATTCCCGAGACCGGGTTTCACTGCAAGCTTTAGTACAACTATCGTCCAATGCACATACCTGAAGGCACGGAGTAGACGATACGGTCGGCCCAGATCAGCGGCCCGAGCACAGAAGGGTGCCACGGCAAACTCAACCTAGAAACACATAACACATATGCACACACGAATGCGCACACGCATGCACGCACACACACACACACACACGCACATACACGCACATGCACACACACCATGTACCCAGTACTAGTATACGCCCGTCGCAAGAGAAGAACGCAAATTTGCAAATGCACTGGACGTGCACCCACAGATTTTCTCTTAAAGCAATGATAGTGGACAAGATCTGAATGAGACAGATCAAGACTAGCGCCAGATAACTGCCCAATCCACACAACCTGCGAAGCCATGTGAATCGACTACCAATGCACACCTGGTCTACACCACACAGAGTACATCGGCATAAAACGGCCAAGACACACACGCACGCACGCGCACACACACACACACACACACACACACACACACACACACATACGAACACATACACACACACACACACACATACGAACACATACACACACAGCGAATGACGCCGTAGAACACAGGATACTGTGCACACAGATCAGGTACTCAGCAGGCATTGCACTCATTACCGTACAAGGTGACAGAAAAATAAATCAGATTTCACATACACAAACAACGGAGGCGAAAGGCTGTGTAGCTGTAACTTCACGTTTTACGCATTTCAGCGATCACCAGACAGCGGCAGCACTCGGCATTCACGTATACTGCTCTGCACATTTGTGTATTGAGCACTTTGCTTCGAGCTGCTTCGGCCGGGTTTGTTTTTGTAAGAATTCAGATATCCATTTCCCAATTCTTGCACATACTGCTGTCCCCGTACACCTGCTACCACCAATCACACACACACACACATACCCTCCTGCTCTTGTCAACTGCTATCACCAATCACACACACACATACCCTCCTGCCCTTGCCAACTGCTACCATCAATCACACACACCCTCCTGCCCTTGTCAACTGCTACCACCAATCACACACACACGCATACCCTCCTGCCCTTGTCAACTGCTACCATCAATCATACATACCCTCCTGCCCTTGCCAACTGCTACCATCAATCACACCAACCCTCCTGCCCTTGTCAACTGCTACCACCAATCACACATACCCTCCTGCCCTTGTCAACTGCTACCATCAATCACACACACCCTCCTGCCCTTGTCAACTGCTACCATCAATCACACATACCCTCCTGCCCTTGTCAACTGCTACCATCAATCATACATACCCTCCTGCCCTTGTCAACTGCTACCATCAAATCACACATACTCTCCCGCCCTTGTCAACTGCTACCATCAAATTACACCAACCCTCCTGCCCTTGTCAACTGCTACCATCAATCACACATACCCTCCTGCCCTTGTCAACTGCTACCATCAATCACACATACCCTCCTGCCCTTGTCAACTGCTACCATCAATCACACCAACCCTCCTGCCCTTGTCAACTGCTACCATCAATCACACATACCCTCCTGCCCTTGTCAACTGCTACCATCAATCACACATACCCTCCTGCCCTTGTCAACTGCTACCATCAATCACACATACCCTCCTGCCCTTGTCAACTGCTACCATCAATCACACATACCCTCCTGCCCTTGTCAACTGCTACCATCAATCACACATACCCTCCTGCCCTTGTCAACTGCTACCATCAATCACACACACCCTCCTGCCCTTGTCAACTGCTACCATCAATCACACATACCCTCCTGCCCTTGTCAACTGCTACCATCAATCACACATACCCTCCTGCCCTTGTCAACTGCTACCATCAATCACACACACCCTCCTGCCCTTGTCAACTGCTACCATCAATCATACATACCCTCCTGCCCTTGTCAACTGCTACCATCAATCACACCAACCCTCCTGCCCTTGTCAACTGCTACCATCAATCACACATACCCTCCTGCCCTTGTCAACTGCTACCATCAATCACACCAACCCTCCTGCCCTTGTCAACTGCTACCATCAATCACACATACCCTCCTGCCCTTGTCAACTGCTACCATCAATCACACCAACCCTCCTGCCCTTGTCAACTGCTACCATCAATCACACATACCCTCCTGCCCTTGTCAACTGCTACCATCAATCACACCAACCCTCCTGCCCTTGTCAACTGCTACCATCAATCACACATACCCTCCTGCCCTTGTCAACTGCTACCATCAATCACACCAACCCTCCTGCCCTTGTCAACTGCTACCATCAAATCATACATGTACATGTACCATCA